GTATGTATGTATATATATACATATATATGTATTTGCATTTTAACAAGTTTATTGAAATAATTTACATGATGTAAAGTTTACCCTGTAAGTGTACAATTTAGTAGTTTTTAATATATTCAGTGTTGTAAATATAATCAAATTCCAGATATATTTCTAATTCCAGAACATTTTTTCCATCCCCAAAAGAAACCCTGTACCTGTTAACAGTCATTAATCTGGGGACCACTCATCTACTTTCTTTCTCTATGAATTTGCCTATTGTGGACATTTCATATAAAAGGAATCATACAATATGTGGCTTTTTGTGACTTTTTTTGCTTGATACTGTTTCAAGGTTCATCTATTTCCCTTCCCATTTTCAGATGCATCTTTCCTTTTGCTTATGCAGGGATCTCAAGGGAAAGCTCAGGTTTGACAAATCCCTGATTTATCAAGTGGGGCAGGATGGGGCATGCTGTGAACCTTGGAACTTCATTGGCTAATTAGCTGGTTTGTTGCATTGAAGTAAAAACCTGTACAAGAGCAAGTGATTCCGGCGAGGTGAATGGAATTCATGTTTATTAAGTATCTGCTTTGTGCCGAGCACTGCGCTTTCCATCCACTGCCATCTATTGAAGAGTTAATGTGCTTTTTAATGAAGGGACCTTGAATTCATTTATGTTAATCACAAGAATACTCAGATAGCTGGATAGGTTAGTTCTGATTCCTGAAGCTCTTATCAATGATGCCAGCTGCTCATCTCAGCATCTGGCCTCACCCATAGACCACAGCCCTCAAGGATCATGCACCTCTTAGGCGAAGAGAGATATTAATTTATAACTTCACAGATGAGAAGACTGTGGTGCAGAGAGTTTTCTTTCCCGAGGGCTTAACTTTATGATCAGTCCATTTCTCTTTCTTCCCTTGAGAAGGCTTGAGGGTAGAGCAGGTTAAGAGGTATTCTAGGGAGAGATTTTGGTTAGAGAGAGATAATTCTGGCATGAGTTGGTCATCTACGATGAGTACGCAGTGAATAAGCACAAGTCCAGCCTTTTTCTCCCAAATCAAATTGCTAATTATACCCTTATCGTAGGCAGAGCTCCTCACTCCTCTAAAAGTCAGAACTCTCCTTTCTTCTATTACTCTCTTTTGAAAAAATAAGCTGGATTCTTCCTTGCCTTGTAGTTTTCGTTGTGGTAGAAGGGATTGTATTTTGGGGGGAAGACAACTACAGATAAAAGATAATGTGTTTCCTCCCCTGGACACTCCACAAAAGGCCATATCTATAATTTAGGAGCTTCAATCAAATCTATGATGAATCAGCCTGCAACTAAACAGAGGAATTATGCTATATGCCATTAATACTTCTTCTTCATAGTAAACCCATAGGTTATGGGTACACTGTGGTTCAGAAACTATTTTCACAGGCCAGAGCTGTAAGTCATGTTCTCTTATTAATAAATTGCTTCCAATCTTCCGATTGCCTCCAATAGTACAAAGCAAAGCTGGAGATGACCTGAATTAAATATCTTTAGGTACGGTGAAACCATAGTTTGTAATAAATTGCTGTTTTTGAAAGAATGTGTTTAAATAAAATAAAGCAGTGCTCATGGTTCAAAATGTCGATTCGAGCTTTATGATTTTGCAAACCATGAGAGAAATCCAGATGCAAAAGTGATGAAGTGTTGTATTATTTTAAGGAAGTTGTGATACTTGGTCCAGTGCATTTCATTTCTCACTGGACATGGACAATAGCTTTTTATGTTTTTCTATTTCGTGGACTTGTTCGGGAGAGCGGGGCAATGACGAGACAGAGCCAGAGGCGGGTGGCGCCAGGCACGGTGCTCAGCCCGCTGTGGTCCATGTGTGCAGTACTGGGCAGGAATACAAATGTGGAGAGCAGTTCACTCGTCCTCTACCAAGGCTTTTTCAAAGAGCATTGGTGGAAGCAGTAGTGTGAAGTGATACTGGGTGATGGTTTTTGTGCACTGTTATTATTGTTTATGCAAAATCTTGCAAACCACTTGAGTCTCCAGATCTCTTTCAGAGAATCTGTTCATAAATAACAAGAAGCCAGGCAGTTGACTAGTTTGCCACTCAGTGAAGACATCCCAATTAGGAGTGTAAAGGGATCTCAGCTTCAAAGCGAGCCAAGATTCTTCCTAGAATTTCCTCGCCTTAAGAAAGAAAGGGCGGAGAGTGCGCTGAGCCATACCTGGAGAGTGAGAGTTAGCTAACTTTCTTTGAAAGGCAGAACTACTTTCTAATCAGCCTGCTGCTGGCTGTTAAAAGAGAAAGAAGAATAAAGTTGGTGAGAAGCAGATGTTTTACCTAAGAGTGGGTTAAGATCTAAGGCAACTCCTGTGAAACCTGGGTCTGTGAGTAAAAGCCGACCAGGGGCCCTGCTCACCTGTGCCTTTTGAGAGGTATTGCTAGACTTGGCCTTCCTGGTGTAGGTGATGACAGATGACAGAAAGATGTTCTGATAATTTTATCTGAAGGGACACTGTCCATTTGTCTGTTTGTCTGTCTCTCTCTCCCCCTCTCTCCTTCCCTCTCCCTCCCATCCACCCGCCCCTTTCTTTCTTCTTCCTCCCTGCCTCTTACACATACAGATACAACCACCCACTCACTGGTATGTAGACCCCTAGTACATATTTACTGAATGAGTGTACTTGAAATCAAGTTTCAAGCTAAAACAGACTTACTAGCAATTTAAAATATTATACCAGAAATCATGGAGCTTAAATCTCTTGTGTAAGAAGAAAAGTAAAATAAATATAAGTTTAATATACATTTTGCTTTTTAATTAAACTAGAAATAGCAAACTAATTCCCCTGTTAGTAACAGTTGTTATCTAAAGAACAGCTCTGAAATATAATCCACCCCAGTTTTTCTAGTTTGTCAGCTTGCTTTCAAGCTGATCTGGCTGTGCTTTTGAATAGGAGTGTTTTCTGGAAACACACATGCACACACGTGCACACACACACACACACACACACACACACACACTAAGCTAACTTCGTAGTCAAGCCAGCTGGGAAATGGGTCACCACCCAGCCAATACTATCAGCTGAAGGTTTAAGTTATCTGGAACTCTTATTTAATCTACCTTGGTCATGAACTCCCTTAGGAGGAAAGCAAATGTCCCTACATGATCACATTCCCCTAGAAAACCTCTGCCCACCCCGCACCCAGGCCTCTCTCACAAAGGAGATTCAAGTTAAAAATACAAATGAATATGTTCCACAAGAGAGAGGCAATCCAGACTTTCAGCTGGAGAATGTACTTCTAGGCCATTTAGTCTGGGCAAATCAAACCACAGAGAGAAGTAGGAAAAAAACATGTTTTTGCTCTCCCACTCCACTGTCTGTCTTGCACTTAACACTTTCGCTGGGCTCTAAGACTCCAACTGATTGCTCATATTCTTGCCCTGCTTGTTGAATATCATTAACATTATTGTCATAAAACCTGGGTGCCTGTCTTATGTTGAAGCCAAAGGAGCTCTGGCTGCAATGGCCCCTGGGCATCAAGGAGCTTTGCAGTCTACCCCCTTCCTCCGTCTATGGGGCATAGATTTAATCAGCCACCGCTGGTGCTCAGTTCCTTTATGTTCTTGCCTCTACCCTAGACCTCACTTTCTGTGTCACTTAAGAATGTTTTGGGCTGCAAGTAACAGGGACTTAAATCATAAAGACATTTATCATTTACCTAACAAGACAGTCCAGAAACAGGTGGTCTTGGTGTTGTTCCCATAGCTCAGTAATGTCATCAAAGACCCAGGTTCTCCATTTTCCTACTCACTTTTCTAAGCACGCTGACTTTTTGTGCACAGGCTTGTTGCCTCTTGGTCACAAGATGGCTACTTCTATTCAAGTTAAAGGGAGGAGATAGTATTAAGGAGCTTTTCGGCTTTCTCTTTTAATAAGAAAATAGGAGCTCTCTCGAAGTCCTTCAGGAGAATTCTGGTTATCTTTCATTTGTCAGAACATTGTTTCATGGCCACTGTCAGTATCTGCCAAATCACCTTTTGAGAAATCCTTGCACAAAATTGGAAAAATTCCAACACAGGGCTTCCAGGGTCCTCTGGAGAAATAACGAGGATGATTTGCTATCCTGAACATCACCCACCCTTTTGCCTAAAACAAACACGAAATGTGTCATCAGAAGAACTTTATCGTAAATTATTGCCACATTTTTGGTAAGGGAAAGAAACACGTATGCTAGCAAGTGATATCCTGAAGTTTAGTCCAAGATGTACATGACATTCCAGAATTTTGGTTCACTGCATACTGTGATAAAAGAGTATAACTAAATTTTAGTATGAGGATATTTTTCTATAGACAAGAATGCCATGTTCATAGTGACAAATACAAGGGTACTTTGGGTTAAATGCTTAGATGCTCTTGACTCATCTCATCTGGAGCCATTATGCCACCAAGAAGTATGCTTTTTTTCTTGCCTAGGTTAATCTGTATGCAAGAAACTGATTATGAATCTTTGGGCCCCACTATGTTAATCTTACCATTTCAGAACAATAATTCAAAAGACTTCAAGGTTAAAAATGCAAGAGCAGTTTTATAAATCATTGAAGGGCACTGTTAACACTGAGATAATAAGTCATAAATATCTATTCCCTCACTGACCCTTGGCAAACAGGGGAACAAAGATATGAGCTGAAGAAAAGCAAGTGACTGTGCAGAAAACTTTCTGGCTCAGAAAGTTATAAACGAGCAGAGAAGTCCAGATCTAATGTGAAACTAAAGTAAAACTAACAATTGGCATCATACATTATGGCTTGGTTGTTTGCTTGCCATAATTAAGTTGGCATCAGTAGTTAACAGCCTTGAAAATTAAACTCAACCAAAAAACTTTTGCAAAGAGTAATCAAAGGCTTCAGGATAATGAAGGTAACACATCCCTATTGTGAGGGAAAAGAATGTTCTAGTGCGATGTTGTTTCATGTCTATTTTGTTGTTGTGGCTGTTGTTTTAACAGACATGTTTATTTTTCACTGTTAGGGGTCATTGCAACTCCTGAGCATCACTCTCAACTTCTGGTTCTACCAGTTGGGCCCCAGTGGACTGATGGCTCAGCATCAGCATGGATGTGCAGTGCAGAACTTGGCACTTTCTGTTTTGGGGGATTTGGGTTTTTTTTTTTTTTTGGCCTTTTAAAATGTGGATTGTTAGCTTTCTTGTTTGGTTCTTGTGGCCATCTGCAATTCAAACAGAGAGGGCTTGTTTGACTTTTAAAGTGTTCACGTCCGTGGCTAAAGAAAAGTAGTTAAGAGCCAGAATGCAAAATTGTTCAGAAAAGAACTACCTTCCAGGTCTTATCCTCTCTTTATTGCCTAATAAACGGTGTTCATCATGACCATCACGAGGCATACATATAGATAAGCCTTTTCTCCCGGAGATGTTCCCATGAGAGTGCAGAGACTGTCTAAATTCTTTATTTGGTGTTCTTTAAGAGAAAAAAAAAATTACTTAGGAATAGATCGATCTTTTTTCTTGCAGTTTCTTTCAAAGCTCAGTGAAAATGCATATAGTTCATTCCAATTACCCGTTTCCAAGCATTTTTCTTTGAGGGGCTGTTTCTAGTCTTGCATAGAGTATTTATTGTGATATAATCATAACCCTGGTGCAATAAGGGTTGGCTATTTTTTGAGTAGAGAAAGATTAGTCTCACTCCCAGACGAGCATTCACAAAAGTAAGTTTGCCTTGGAAGTTGGACTTTAAAACTAAATTACACAACATGAGGTGAAAAGTAATGGACTATTAAAGACTCTGTTTAGAAATTTCCATCTCTTTACCAACAAAGAGCAGAGACAAAGGAAACTATTGGAAAAGATAAATGCATGATGGTCCATAAAGAGAAAACACATGCTTTATGCCACTATTTTAATTGATCATGGGGCAGAGATTAAAGTGAGAAAACTAGGAAAATAACTTATTTTAAAAGCATGTTTATTGAAAGTAGGTTATAATAGAACTGTAGCCCCAGACTCTCTGTGATGGCCCAAAATTGCATGTACATCCTGGTGGGCAAGGAGAGCACAATGTTCTGTATCCTCTTTCTGACCCAATGCAGCTCAACTCACCCAGCAGAAACAATGTTAAGTGATGATTGTTTATGATGCTCAGAGCCCAGAGGCTATTTGGAATAGAAGATTAATTGGAAAATACTTCCTAACCCCACAGAGAATCACCACAATAGAATTAAGTTCTAGGAACACTGTGCAACCTGAAGCAAATGGAACCTGGTGGGGTCTAGAGAATGCCCAGTGGTTATCACTCTTTTTTTCTCACCCAGGTTCTGAGAAACAAAACAAAGAAAAAGGCAGACGAGGTCAAAATATCACCGTTGTTACTAAGGACGACTAGGTTGGAGGGAATAGCATTGGGATGAAAATCAGATGGGCTTCCAAATTAGCATCTTCAAATTAGCTGGTTCACCCAGTCACACACAAGGCCAGATACAGAAAGCTTCTTGATCTGAGGCTCAGAGCAGAATACCTGTCTGCTATGAGCTACTCCAAAGAAGGAAAAGGAAGGGGATGACCATGAATGTCCAGTTTATTCTTCCCAAATTGTTGCTCCATCTCCCTTGGAGAAGAGGGAGTAGAGGTTGAGAGAGTCGAGGGTTGCACTAATTGAGTTCCCTTTTATGGAAGGAAACATCCAAATCGGAGAAAATTATTCTCAGTTAATCTTCCTTCAAGCCTATCACACTGAACAATAGTCATTTTGGGCCCCTAGTGCCTGTGAGGTGTGAGCGAAGTAGTTAAATAGCACAAATGTCTGGGGCTATGGCTGTCACGTACACAGTCACACTCATGGTATTGGTCATCGGCATGAACAGTGGCCAGGTGTGTTTCACTGAAGCATTTGTTTGTGTAGAACATAGAAAAAAATGATATAGACTTGTTCCTCACCCATACTAATGTCTTTTATTAAAACTTTTTATTTTGAAATAATTTGAGATTTATAGAGAAGCTGCAAAAATAGTACAGATTTTCCATATACCCTTTACCGGCTTCCACTAATGTTAATAACTTGTGTAACCATAATAGAATTATCAAAACTAAGAAATTAACATGGATATGATGCTATTAAATAATAGTTTGTACTTGGATTTCACAAGTTTTTCCTTTTTCTGTTCTAGGATCCTATCTAGGATCCTATATTACATTTTGTTGTCATGTCTCCTTATTCTTCTTTAATCACTGCCAGCTCTTTGCTCTTTCCTTGTCTTTTGTGATCTCGAAATTTTTGTAAAGGACAGGTCAGCTTTTCGTCTACTGTCCCTCAATTTGGGTTGGCTTGATGTTTTCCTGTTGTCAGTGGAAGAACATCCAAACCTGTAGAGAATTTTTATAAAACTGTTTTTGAGCTAAACAGAGGATATATCTGGAAACAAGATCTCAGTAGACTGAGAAATGCTTCCTAGAATAACAGTCTCTTTTTATGCATTTGAGATTAAGGAGGGAAGGTAGGGAAGATTACCTGAAGGTGGGAGGAAGCAACTAATGATTGAATTAGGAGGGTAGCTAAATTTATGTACTCCCTGAGGGGTCTGAAAGGGTGGTCAGGTATTATAAGGAAAAGTCTAGAAAGGGGCATTTCAAAGGAGTGTTTATCTAGATGCACAGAAACAATGGACAGGGCTTGCTTAAGGCAAACACAAGACTTTTAGTAAAGTTGCTGCCTGGGGCGTCACTGCCCACTGGGACTTGCATTAGGAGGGTAGCTAAACTTATGTACTCCCTGAGGGGTCTGAAAGGGTGGTCAGGTATTATAAGGAAAAGTCTAGAAAGGGGCATTTCAAAGGAGTGTTTATCTAGATGCACAGAAACAATGGACAGGGCTTGCTTAAGGCAAACACAAGACTTTTAGTAAAGTTGTTGCCTGGGGCGTCACTGCCCACGGGGACTTGCCCAGTTAAGACTTTATAATCAGATCAACCTATGAGGTCATTTCCTGTAGACCAGTTAGGAATTTATAATCAGATCACCCTATGAGGTCATTTCCTGTAGATACCTCCACCCCCCTTTTTTTCATCCACATCATGATTAGATTGAGGTGATGTGTCATCACTTTTCAGTGCATCATATCAAGGGATGAATGACGTTAACTTTGATCACTTAATGAAAATGGTGTCTGCTGGGTGTCTCCACTATAAGGTGACTGTTTTCCCCTTGTGATTAATAAATAACTTAAAAGAGATCATTTGAAATTGTACAAATATCCTGTTTCTCCTCAGACTTTGCCCAATAATTTCAGCATCTGCCAGTGGGTCTTTCCCTCACCAATTATAACTGTAGTGTTCCAATCTTAATTTCTAATTCCTTCTGCATTTATTACTTGAAATTATGAAAGGAAGCACTGTCGCTTCTCCTCCACACATTTATTTATTAAATTATTGATTTATGTTAATATGAACTCATAGATATTCACTTTATTCTATGGATTCTAACCCCGCACTGTTATTTATTTTGTTATTCCAATGCTCCAGCTATCCACTGGGAGGTTGACATGGCTCATCCTTTTTTGAACACTTCCTTAGTTCTGGCCCCATGAGATAAGATACTCCAGGCTCATCATGAATTTTCCCTCCTCCAGCCCTGTTTACTATGGACTGGCAGAGTCAAAGGAGCTTTGTGTACATTGTCATCTTAATTCTGATCCTTAATCCTTTTACTTTGTTAGATAGGTATGATTTTCTCCATTTTCAGAAGGATAAACTGAGGCTTAAAGAAGTTAAGTACATTATTCCATTCTCTCCAGCAAGAATACTAGTTAGGGTCTCTTGGACTCCAAGGTTTATGTTCTTTCTGCTGGGTAAAGAATTATTTCAGAAGTAAAACATAATGTAGGTATTATCCACTTCAGCTTCCTCCACCCCTTTTCAGAGATGAGGAAACTGAGGCCACTAAATGAAAGGATCAAGATTTCTTCAACACTCAGAAGTTGATGGAAGAAATGAATGGAAAACCCTGATCTTTCAGCACTCAGCCCAGTATATCTTTATATTCCACAGTTAGTGATTCTTCTCAGGTGATTTTCATTGGTAAAACAACTAAAAATTTCAATTCATTATTGAAACTTCCTTTGCCTACCTTATGATCAAATATCATTTTCCATTGTGTTTGCCAGCAACCATGAATGGGATTTTGAGCCTGTGTCATTTTTATCTGTCAAGAAATACTGCATCAAAGAAAGAATTAAACAATAGCCCCTCATACTGCCCATACTGAAAATAAGTGACATTACCACGTTAATTCCAAAATGATCTCTTGTGCAATATAAATTCATTTGAAAATGGTATTTTCTGAAACAAAATCATTAATTTTTTTCTTCTCGTTTGTATGAGGCTGCTGCCGATTGACACGGCATACTGTTTACAGCAAACTTTTTTTTTAATAAATAGAAGGAATATGCTCTAAAATAATGATTTAAAAAGTATAGTAAATGCATGAACCAGTAACAGTCACTTATTATCATTATCAAGTATTATGTACTGTGCATAATTGTGTGTATTATTCTTTTATATGGCTGGAAGCACAGTAGGTTCACTTCCACCATCATCCCCACGAACACGTAGTGTTGCGCTGCGATGTTACAGTGATTACGACGTCACTAGATGACAGGAATTTTCCAGCTTCGTTATGATCTTGTGGGACCACCGTTGCGTATGAGGTCCACTGTTGACTGAAACATCGTTATGAGGCGCATGACTGCATACTATGCCTTAACGAAGCTCCCTTGCTTCTTGAAAAGCAGAAAATAAGAACAAAATCCAAGCAACACTCTGGATCCACCATGGTTAAAACAAGGACATTATATAAAACAAGACCTGCTGAAACTAAAGAGGCTTCTTACACAAATGGGGCGGCTTCTGGTTATACCTGAAACACTGAAGAAAGGACCTAGGAACTAACGACAGGGAAGTCAGAGAGAGATGACTCTTAGAGACAGCAGCACGGATACAGAACCTGGGAGTGGAAGTGGGGGGTCGGCTTCAGTTTTTCTGCAGGATTATGGCTTAAAATTTAATAACTGTAAGCCCCCTAAATGCAAGTCTCACTCAACAGACCTCCATCCTGCCCACGCTGGAAACACTGTTCAGGTAGAGGCTTCCAACTTTGCCTGGCTTTTCTCATTTTCCCTTTAAGCCATGGCTCTGTCTCCCGTTAGAATGCAGCCACTGCTCTCCACGCCTGTGGATTCCAAGCTGACTGCGGTGTTAGTATGTGCTACAAAGAGCACACTTTCCAAAGAGACAGGTCCATTTTAAAATATGGAGATACGATTCTACAAATACTGTAAAACTAGCGAAGGCCTTTGGTAAGGTAGCTCTGACACCCTAGAAGCCCAGAGAAATCTTTTTTGATATTCTTCAAAAAGCAAATGTTCCAAAAAACAAATAAAAATACAAAGGAATAAAAAACACAAAAAAGTCAAAAGAAAAGAAAAAGAAAACAAACAAAAATGTACCAAGTTTGCTTCTCTCCTATAACTGGAGAAGACAGAGTGGGTGGAAAGGATAAGATTTCATAGTGGAAAGGTGATTGGATTTTGATAGAAAAGGACAGAGGTCAACCAACTGTGGCCCCTCGGCCAAATCTGGCCCCGTGTAATGAACTGAATTGTTTCCCTGCCCCAATTTATATGTCGAAGCTCTAAGCCCTAGTGTGATGGGGTTTGGAGGTGGAGCCTTTAAGAGGTAATTAGGATTAGGTGAGGTCATGAGGGTGGGGCCCTAGTCCTGTTGGAATGGTAGCCTTATAAGAGAGGGGAAACACCAGGCTCTCTCCCTCTCTGTGCACACACTGAGGAAAGGGCCATATGAGGACACAGCTGTCTACAAGCCGGGAAAAGCGTTCTCACCAAGAACCTAATTCACTGGCACCTTGATCTTAGACTTCTAAGCTCCAGAACTGTGAAAAAATTTCTATTGTTTAACCTATGTAGTCTGGGGTACTTTGTCATGACAACCTGAGCTGACTAATACAGCTTGTTCCTATATATGAAGTTTTATAGGAACAGCCACTCTCATATGTTCACGTATTAGCTGTGACAGCTTCCATGATCAAATATGAGATTGAGTAGTTGTGACCGAGACTACATAACCTGCAGAGGCCAAAATATTTACTATCTGCCCATCACAGAAAAGTGTGCCAGCATCTGCGATAGAAATCTACCATATCCGATAAAGGTTTAAAACAGGAAAAGCCATCCCTGTGGGATATTAAAGGGCCAGTGAGGGGAAACTGCCTTAGTGGGCAGTGGACAAACTAGCACTGGCCTGATCACATCTAGGAGTGTCCTGGACTCTAACCCAGTCACCTCACACATGAGCTAAATGGTTGACAATAAACATTTGGAATGAGCAGTGTCTGATGAGTCTGATAGGACAGGTCAGTCATGACAGTGGATTAGAAGGGGAACAGATGTGGTCAAGGAAGAGTGTGGAAAGCAGTGAAGAAGAAACCAGGTCCGTTCTTTCTTTCTCCATAGCCGTGGATCATCAGGGGCATTGGCGGTGTCCCTGACGCAAAGCAGAATGGGAGCCAGGCTGTAATGCATCAGACCCCTGTGTCAGGATCATCTGAGGTTGGTCTGGGAATTTGTATTTAAGGAATGCCCAGGGAATTCTCTGCACATGGATGTCTGAACCACCGCTTGAGCAGCTCCCGCCTGCTGGACGGTAGCACCCTTCGTAGCCGGGGAGTGGGCGCATCTATGACCAGCCCCTTAGCGAAGAGCCTTGATGGAGAGTTTTTGCCACAGGGATAGCACCACACATTCGGGACAATAAAGACTTTTCACATCTGTCTGCTGCCAGCCAGGTCAGCCTTAAGGCTTCTGGGCCAGAACGCCAACCTTGGAACCATGTTGTCAGTCTCAGTAAAGTGGAATTCCAAAACTGATACCACTGCTGGGCTGGACCGACTTCAAGCAGAGTTGTTTCAGGCACGCTCAATCTGTGGCGACCCAGCTGTGTCTGAAGCAAGCAAAAAGAGCTGGACTCAAACAAAGAGAAAACACCATTTTTCTTCTTCCCCTCGTGTAATCAATAATTCAACCCCGTAAAGCAAGCCTGACACCTGATGGAGTGCTTGCTGCAAAGAAGGAGACAGGAGCCATCTACCATCCACATCCACTTCTAACTCTTTCTCTCCTTCCTTCTGCCCCATCTCCTGGCCCGTCTTTGGTCTTCCTGCATCTGAACGCAATGCTCACATGTCTGCTAAAATGTGACCCAAACATAGTCCAAGAGGAATGAAGATGGAGTGTGAACGGCTGTGGGGGAAAAGAGGAGCCAGTCATTTTAAATATCAAAGCAAATCAGTTATGAGTGAAGTCACTGTCCCCTCTGAGTGACATAGCATGACTTGACTGAACTCACCAAGTAGCTACTTACGTGAATAAAAAAGTGCCCCAAAGACAGAATAATAATAATAATAATAATAATAATAATAATAATAAAACAACAACAACAACAACAGCAGCAGCAGCAGCAGCAGCAGCAGCAACAACAGCAACAACACTTACATAGAAACTACTTTGTGCTAGGCTCTTTTCTGAATGCTTTATATATAGTTTACTTAACTTGGATCATTTCTAGTGTCTGTAAGACAAGGAGAACATGCAATGGCACAGAAATGTGTTTGTACCATCTATGTGGTTGTATGTCAATCCTAGTGCGTAGGGTACAAATGGTCTAATTCCCTTTTCTTTATTTCCACATTGATGTTTTTCGCATAATTCTTGGAAGTATAATTTCCTTCAGAGCTGAATATGACAGGTCCCAGGGGTTAGGTACAATTGTTACAGTGAAATGAACGCCCCTGGAAGTAACCTCACATTTTTTTTACCCTTTCCTTCATTCCTCGCCATGCCCATCATTCATATCCTAAATAAGGCAGATTAGTACTAACGACTTCCTCAGGGCGAACAATTTGTGATATTTTTTAAGTGAGCATAGCCACCCATCTAAATCCAAGAGCCCCCAGGAGGCCATCACCTCTCTAAAGACTTAAAAAGGATTAAAGTTTTAAATGTTGGGTGTCTTGATTAAATTGGTGGTAGTGGGTGATATGTTCCACAAGCATACTTCTGGTCTTCAGATTACAGCCATGAGAAATGACTTGGCACTAGCAGGACACATCTCTGTGTCCCTGCAGGGTGGAGGGGCTGTGAGCTGGTCCAAGCGAGGATTAGCCCAGCCATATTGATGAACAGCCTTTCGTCAACCTGCTGAGGCTGCTAGCTCTGGTTCTGAATCCTTCTTAGCGATTTCTAGCATCTCACAGCCCTGTTTGTATAAACCAAAGCTTGGAGGCTTGTTTTAATTTTATATAAATTAATTCTCTTATCCAGGCCCCACCAGCCTGGGAATAAAATTTCAGTTGCAACTAGTCAGAAAAGCACCCACTGTCGTGGGACCTCTGAGCCCCCTTCAAATGATTCTTCTTTCTGTCTCCTTCCTCCCTTCATTCATTATTTATTGAGCCCTTATTATGTGCCAGGCACTATTCTAATTGCTAGAGCTACATTCTAGTAATAAAGATACAATAGTAAAATCTGCAGTGTATTAGAAGTGATTAAAAGGCATGCAGGGACATGGCATCCCTCAGCTACTTGGAGAAGGCTCTCACTCCGGCTCTTGGACACTGCCTTCTGCAGTGGCTGGCTGCTGAGAGCCCCAGGGCAGCCATAAGGCTGCAGGGAAACCTAACCCATGGCTAGTTACAGCCCAGCCACCACTTCCTGCCCACAGCATGCGGCTGAAGTCACTCAGAACCATGGTGTCCTTGACCAAACCCATCTGAGGTAAAGCTCCAATGCCGTGAAGCTGGGCTATACTCTGGCTGGGGTGGTGTGGACCCCTCTCTGCCACCTTGGTGCCACTGATGCTGTGTGCTCCAAATCTTAGGGTTCAGTGAAGTGGCTCACTCAGTTTGTACTTTTCATTTTTATTAATTTGTCATTACAGATGCAATCCATGAATGCATTCCCACTGTAAAACATTCAAATATCACAAATAAATCAAAAGCATTTCCTGACGATGGCCCAACCCTAAAGGGACTACCACTGCTCATGTGTATAGCTTTCTGGACCTCTCTGATTTTCTTTATGTAATCTCACATGCATAGCTATGTACACACACACACACCTACAGATATACTGCAAGAGCACATATTGCCTTGTGTTTTTTCCTTACATAAATGGTATATTTATAGATCATTTGGAAATTTATTTTTCTACTCATCAAGAACCAGCTCAATAGAGAAGAAATTCAATAATCAGTACATTGAGCCAGATCAGTATAGAGC